ATTAACCCATTAGATTCCAACTATATTGTTTAATTAATTAATAATCAAACATCTACAGCCAAATGAGCCGACCAAATCAAACAATTAATTAACCAAATACATAATTAGCTTCCCCTACTTTTACCATTTAAATACTAAACTCCGCCGACATATCGAAAAAGACGGTTTTGCTCCTTATTATTTGACCGACTTTTGTCATCAGGTAATCTAAAACACACGTTTATTGATATTAATTAAATAATTAATCCCAACTAGATTGTAATTAAATAGTTAGATTCCCCTTTAATCTGGAAATTGGGAGAATGACAGCAAACATACAGAACGTAATTAGTCGGCGCGTATTAATTCATGTAATCATCATTAATAATAAAAAAATTATTTTGGGATTTGGGATCACGAATTTGGATTCGTCGCACAAATTTTCATGCATGTATTATGTATGAGTAATGCTATTTATCCCGACTGAGGTTACAACTCCAGTCTAGATAGGATGCATGTATTATGAATAATGTTACATAACACCAATAGTGCTAAAGCATTCAGTGGTGGCAGAGTATCAAATTATATGTCATTATGTTTTCAGATTCAATTAAAAGTGAAATTACGTTATTTATTTAATTGAACCTATAATTTAATGTCATTAATGTCGTTACCTAAACTGGTGTTAAATATCAGTGTTGCTAAATAACATTACCCATGTATTATTATATATACATGTCATGCAATTATTTGAACAAAATTATATATAAATGCTTTCATTTTCAATTATGCAGTTCTCTTAATAAAATAATTTTACACTTTAATCAAAAAAAAATCTGCTTTAGATTATATATATAACAAAATCTATTCTGAAAAATTGAGGCTCGAATGTGGGTTAAGGCTCTTGCTAGTACATTAAATAAGACTGGACATATTTTATTACGTTTCTCTTTTCTTATTTGATTAAAACAGTGGTGTAGATATAAACATTGTTACCATATAAATTGATGATTAAATTTGACATAACATTGTTCATGATTAAATTTAACATAATATAGCGGTGAGATATTCATTTAACATCATCTTAAGACTTCTTTAGTATTTAGCCATTGTTTGAGCCACGTTTTATTAAAAATTATTTTTTCAAAACTCGTTTTTAATCACACATTCTTCAGTAAATAATTTTACATGTAAATTAAAAATTATATATATACACACATATATGATTAATTATGAAATTGATTACACCACCTAAGCACTCGAGTATCATAACACACTACAATAGGTAGTGTGAGATAATTGTTGATTAAAAAACGGTTATACTACCTATATGTGCGCGCGCGCGTGTTAATTAAATTTTCTTAATTTGTATGAAAATGAAAGTAAGCCATTATTTGACAATCATTATTTTGAGAAAATAGAGTTTTTTGTAATTATTTTTAGGAGAATGTGATATTATAAAGTATGAAAAAATTTCAGGTTTACGCGCAAAATATTTTACTGTGTGAATGTGAAGTTGAAAATGAGTACGCGGAAAAAAGAGTTTAAAAATAATAGTTGTCAAAAAGGGGGCGAAATCTATTTTTATTGGATAGAGTGAGTATTATATGAATAATTCTACTTGTGCATAAGTAGTTACTGAAAGTTTACAAATAGATGAAGTGTCGATAAAGGAGTGAGAGCTTCTTTTTTTTCGTTGAAGAAATTTCGAGTCAATTATATCCCATTATATCGTGTGTATGTAATTCAGCCCCTGTTTGGCCTCCATTATTTTGCATTTTTGGGGGTTGAAAATTTTTAGAATAGTGATTGATGGGAGAATGTGTGGTTGATTTTTTGATTTGTGTGTAATATTATTTTATTTGATGAATGTAAAGTTGAAATGAAGAGACAAAAAAATGTAATGTTATTTAATGGAGGCCAACACCCTTGCATTCTATAAGTAGTGAAGTAGTGATGTACATGTAGCAGTATTATATATGATTATGTTAATGATTATGATGTGGGCATTGAGCAATCCAAGGAAAGAAGACAAAATTTGTTGCAAAATATGAGACCAGCCTTGCCTTGATTTTTGTACTTCTCCTCTCCTTACTATAAATAGTAAGAAACCAATAAAACGTGCTGAGTTCTAAGGCCCCCACCTGTCCTTCAAATTCAATCCCCTAGTTTCCACACTTGCAATATTTACGTAAATCAAACTCCCAACTCTTGTAATATTTCACCCTTACCCTCAAAGTAGATCAAATTCAAGCCAAGAATTGAATAAGAATTCATTCTTATCACTTGAGTTAGGTTTCGATTTCCCTCTTTTGTAATACTCGTACATCTTAACCGTTCTCCAACTCTTTGATTGTTTGACTACAAGAATGGCAATATGCTTTGTCATGTTTTGCCGCGTATTTGAAGAATTCGGACGGAAATTAAATTTTAAAAGTTGATTGCTACACTTAATAAATTGTATAATGGATAAAATTTTGGGGAAATGAGGAGACTTCTCAGGCTTTCATGAAAAATAGAATTGACTCCTAAAAATGGAATTTTGACTCCCCCACCTATTCAAGTTTGTGAGGTTGGATTCTCACCTAATGGAAATTATTAAGTCTATTACTTTGATAGTTGAAAAGTTAAAGTTCATCTAAAATGACTATTACATACTAACTATTTATCAAATGTTAATTTTTTTTTCTTTTTCCTTTTGTTTATTTAACAGATTTTTTTTTTAAATTCAATTTGTCATTTTTTTTTTATCTTTTAGTATTTAGTTTATAGTTAGGACATGATAGTCATTTTAAATCAAAATCTTCAACTATCGAGACATAATTAAACTACTTGTATACATAAAATAAACAACTTGATTGGCACCCTAAGTGTGAAAAATCGACAGTAAATTGGAAAGGGTGTTTTCAAGATCAATATATCAAAATCTGTCAAAACAGACGAGTGTAAATCAATGTGTCAACATTTACGTTCATGTAGTATGATCCATTAAAATAACAAATTAGGTTAGGTGGGAATCCAATCTCACATAATTGCATGTGTTGGGGATTCAACCTCTCAATTTTAAAGATTAGTAAGTCGATTCCACGTTTCAAAAAAAAAAATAAAAAAATTAAGGAGTATAGTCCCTTTTGTTGAAGTAGTAAAAAAATTGAATGATTTAATTTTCAATTTTCACATTCATAAATTATTTTGATCACATTCATTTTGAGGGTTGCGTGTGAATGTATTTTTATTCACGTTTTCAAGAAGTGGAAAATGTGTGTATGTATTTGAATGATTTCAAGAAGTATGTATTTTTATGTTTGTACAATTTCAAGATGAAGTGGGGAAAATTGATTATAACTAAGCAAATTAAATATGGGTATATTGATAAACAAACATAACAAAACATTTTCAATAAAGAAACATAATTATATAATTAAGACAAGAGAATAAAGAAAGTTGATCTATGTAAATAGAACGGAAGGAGTATAAGATATGAAATGATCACAATGAGCAATTCCAATTTGAGCGCTCTACAAAAAATGACGAATCCCAATTTTTGTTTAATTAAATATCAACCATGCTAAAAGTACATAAAATTTTGACAGACAATACATAGCGTAAAATCAGTGGAAGCAGAAGAGAGAGAATAAAAACAAGTCAATCATGCGTCGTCATGTCAACATAGATATGAATTCTGTCAACATTTTTATGTAATCATGGCTTTTTTTCCTAAATATTTTTGAATCTATTTTTGAAGAGAATAGAAATTATGGAATAGTGATTGATGTGAAAATTTGTAGTGGAAAAGTGATGAAAAATTTTTGATTTGTGTCTAATATTTTTTTATTTAAAGAATGTGTGATTGAAATGAAGAATAAGAATGAGAAATTAATGCTAGTATGTCAAACTGTGGCTAACTTATGATTTAATTGTGATAGTTGTACACGTGCTCATCCAATCAAACATTTTGCCCAAGTCAACTCAAGTATTCAGTATCAGCAGTCCCCACCGCCTCCATTTAATACTCCTCATCCATCAGCCTTAACCAACGCCACCTCAGCAAATACATGAACCCAACCCACACCGCACCCCTATAAAAGCCACTCATCCACTCTTCACTCTGCGTCCTCGCTTCATTCCCTCTTCTCAAGTGAGCACAAAAAGACTGCGGAAGCAAATCAAGAATTGAAAATGCCTTCGCAGTGCTTACCTCTGGTCTCCAAATGCACAATTTTCCCAGCCCATAAATCCAATATGGGTGACCTTAAACTTTCTGTTTCCGACCTCCCAATGCTCTCTTGCCACTACATTCAGAAAGGGGCTTTGTTTACCCGCCCACCATTTCCCATTTATCAGCTCGTTACTCTACTCAAAACCAGTCTCTCACAGTCATTAACTCACTTTCCACCACTTGCGGGTCGACTGACCACCGATTCGGAGGGATATGTTTACATTATCTGCAATGATGCCGGAGTGGATTTTATCCACGCCAATGGGTCCCATATTCATGTAAGGGACGTTCTGGGATCCATTGATGTGCCTCAAGAAGTTAAGAGGTTCTTTGCTTTTGATCAAAAGGTGAGTTATGAAGGCCATTTCAGCCCTATTCTTGCCGTTCAGGTCACGGAATTGGCTGATGGCGTTTTCATTGGATGCGCCGTGAATCATGCTGTTACAGATGGGACCTCCTTCTGGAATTTCTTCAATACTTTTGCTGAGATAAGTAGAGGTGTCAGGAGGATTTCAAGGACGCCGGACTTCCGTCGTGACTCGGTTTTGATTTCTCCTGCAGTGCTGAAACTCCCCGCCGGCGGACCCAAGGTTAGTTTCTCCGTCGACGCTCCGCTGAGAGAGAGGATTTTCAGTTTTAGCAGAGAATCAATTCAGAAGCTGAAATCCAAAACCAATAATCAGAAATGGGAATTGAACATTGTCGAATTGATGGGCAAGCAGAGCAACGACCCATTGAAATTTCCCGACGAGAAGTCGACGCCGTTAACTTGGTTCAGAAACGCCATTTCCAGGGAGTCAAATTATTCAACAGATCAAAAAGCTGAGATTTCATCCTTTCAATCACTGTGTGCTCTGTTATGGCGCGGCATCACGTTTGCCAGAAAATTACCAGCTTCCAAAACGACAACTTTCCGGATGGCTGTGAATTGCCGTCACCGGCTGGAGCCGAAGCTGGAGCCTCTATATTTCGGCAACGCGATTCAGAGCATTCCAACATTCGCAACTGCCGGTGACGTTTTGGCTAAAGATCTGCGGTGGTGTGCCGAGCAATTAAACAAAAATGTGCAGGCGCACGATAATGCTACCGTCCGGAAGTACATAGGGGATTGGGAGCAAGATCCACGGTGCTTCCCATTGGGAAATTTTGATGGCGCGATGATCACAATGGGTAGCTCTCCGCGGTTTCCAATGTACGATAATGATTTCGGGTGGGGTCGACCCACGGCGATTCGGAGTGGTCGGGCCAACAAATTTGATGGCAAGATTTCTGCATTTCCAGGACGTAATGGCGGTGGAAGTGTTGATCTAGAGGTGGTTTTGGCACCGGAGACCATGGCAGCGTTGGAATCTGACTCGGAGTTCATGGAATTTGTTTCGGCTTATTAGACAATTTAATCATCTTATTATTGTATATTGTTCAATTGCATGTTTGGTTTTATTTATTGAGTAATGTTATTTACGTAAAGTCTAGATGACGTCACAACTTTATTATAATATTGTTCAATGAACTTTGAATGAAATTTTAGAAATTGGATCACATGGACAGTATCCGTTTAAAAAAAAAACTTTGTAATTACGTGAGAAAGTAAAAGTGAGATTAAGAAATAAGTAAAAGTTGCACATAACATTTCTATAACAATGTACATGCATTTTGAAAAGAGGAATGCAATCAAAATTGTTATACAAAAATATGTTTCGAATAAAAATTACCACAAATGTACGAATCGTTCAAGTAATAAAATGGATTTTAGAGTCCAAATATCGTTACCACGGAGATTTACTAGTTCGATTCTACTTATTCTAACATTAACCGAAACGTGAAATATGGTTG